TTTTTTTTTTTTTTTAGTCCTACATCAGATGGCAGTGCAGCAGCTGTCTTGGCCAGTGAAGAGTTCGTAAAGAAACATGGGCTTGAGAGTAAAGCTGTTGAGATTCTAGGAATGGAAATGGCAACAGACCTTGTGAGCACTTTTAAGGAAAACAGTTCAATTAAAGTGGTAATTGAAATTATTTTCATCATATCTACATCATGTAAACAGAATAAAAATCTTGATGACAAGCTCTTAAAATTTTCAGCTTTTATTTTTGAAAAAGTAGAGGAAAGAACAAAGACTCAGACAATCTCTGTCTTTTTTTGTTTATCCATATTTTTTTATTGATGTGGATATATAGGTGTTAAAATTTTCAATGTTACTCTCAGTAACATAGATGTGTTGTATTTGGTAAATGCATGTTTAACCCTGGAACTCCCAAGATCTGATTGTCAGTGTTCCCTAGATAGATAGATAGATGTTTATTAAGAATACCTTAATAGCAGCTGGAAGCTGAATTGCAAGGGTGTACAAATTATGTAATAGAACTATACAATAAAATCAAACCTAAAAGGGAACTAATTTAAGTATACAATTATTATAATAAATGTTAGTTGAAATGTCTTGCTTTTGCTGGAATGAAAGTATCTCTGAACCGATTTGTTTTAATGGAAACTCTAAATGGTCTGCGTCGTCGTAACTCCATAAGTTGATCTCAGTTATCGAAAGGCAGTAAGTGGTATAAACAATCCAGGGGATTGGAGATGATATTGTTAAAGAATTTTAAGCAAAGGTCTTCTCTCCAATCCCTTAGGGTTTTCAGCTCTGCCATCTGAAGCACTTCTCTATAATGATTATCATAACCGTATATAATTTACAAGGCTCTCTTTTGGACACACTCTAAACTTAAACTCAAATAATTGAGGAGACTATAATGGTAGACCTGCCATCCATAAAGTAAGACAGATTGAATACAAGCAACATTAGCTGCCACATATTTCCCTGTTAATTAGTTTCAAGAATTTAGTGATAACAACTTTCGCCTGATATCTCTGAGTATTCTCATTACCACTTTGCTGGGAGAAGCTACATGTTAATCATCTCTGGAGTTAAGGGGTTAATATGAAAGGAAAGAAAAAGTTGGAATTAAGGACACTATATATAATTATACTTTATGTGTTGCACCAGATTGTTTGCAGAATATCCAGCCAAAAGGTGTATCAATTTCTGTTTGTTAGGAGAATTGATTTTTTGATCATTTGAACTGCTAATTACTTCAGCATGGTTTCTTTCAGGTTGGTTATGATATGACTAAGACAGCTGCCAAGAAATTGTTTCAGAAGACAGGTATGTGACACATGTATGGTCCACTATTTGTATTTTACACTTGTTTCATTTGAAAGGTTATCTGAAATGGTGTTTAGGGATCTATAACTTCTTGGAAGAGTATTTTTTTGGCTTACTTTCAGGTCTGGAGCAATTTACCCAATTTTTCCGTCTGCTGTTGTTATTCATGATAAAAGGCTGATAGTTTCGAAAGAAACTGTTTGGGGCTGCGTCGGTGGGAGTAACGAAATAATTTGGATATAATTTTTATCAACAAAGTTGAAATGGTAAATTAGCCACCGTAATGATTACAAAAGCTGACGTTTCGAGCGTTAGCCCTTCGTCGGAGTGAATAGAGGAATTGTGGGTTGTGTGTGCTTTTATTCATGATAGGCATGTCACCCAAGGATGTCCAAGTTGTGGAGCTTCATGATTGTTTCTCCACCAATGAGCTCCTTACTTATGAAGGACTGGGTCTCTGCTCTGAAGGTAAGATGGGTTTTAGCCTCAGTATTTGCCACCTGGTACTCGCATAGCAAAGTTAATTTCAAACCCTGACTGTGGAAGATAGTTATATAATTATTAAATTATAACTATAAGTGAAAAGTACTAATTTCAATTGCAGAGTAAATGGTTTAAATCGACATTGATTTCTTATGTGTGATTGTGATTGTGTTACTATGTATTTTTTCAGAACAGGAGAAAGGTGTCGATGGGATAAAAAATCTGCAATTAATTTTTTTCTCCTAGGCAAAGGAGGGGAATTAGTAGACAGAGGAGACAATACTTATGGAGGTAAATGGGTGGTAAATCCAAGCGGAGGACTCATTTCTAAAGGTCACCCTCTGGGGGCTACAGGTACCAGAAATAAAAGATACATGTAAATGTTGCCTGAGGTTTGAGTCTATTGTTACAAATTTCACTGGATGTGTGTTGCTATTGCAGGTTTAGCACAGTGTACAGAGCTTTGCCGTCAGCTGCGGGGTGAGTGTGGTAAGAGGCAGGTAACTGGAGCTAAGGTGGCTCTTCAGCATAACCTTGGATTGGGTGGCGCTGTAGTAGTGGCTCTGTATCAACTAGGATTTCCTAACCAAAGGAGGTGAGATTTCAACAGGAATTACAATTTTTTACTAGTGACTGGAAACCACAGAACTAAAAATTGTGTTCTTAAAACCAGGTATCATCCAGTACCTTCCTATACCTCAGCAGTCGAGAAAGGAGATTTCAAAGCAGCGGCAATATTTGAAGAAATGGAAAAGAGAATGAAGGGGGTGAGTGAAAGTCAATTTAATTTTTAGTCACCTGTGCAGCCCGTTTTTCTTGTCACACAGGACCTTTAGACTTTGTCACGCAATCTCTCTCAAGTATTGTGTAACAAGCACAATGATTCATAAGTTTACCCTCCACAGTCACATTAATAATTTTTTTAATTGTTTTTTAACTAATCCATAAGCGGGATATTTATAAAATTATTTTCTAATTCACTCAGGAAGGCTCTCGACTTGTAAAGAAAATTAAAGGAGTTTACAGATTCAACATCAAAAATTGGGATGGAAAAGAAACCTGGTGGATTGTTGATGCTAAACATGGAGATGGGGCTTTAAAATATAGAGGCTCAGGTACATGTAGGCTCTCCAGGATATTTATTAAATTTAAAGTGATCCTTGAATGCTGTAAAATAATTTAAACTAAGTCACAAAATTAGACATGTTTTTTTACTGTTAGAAACCTTGACTGAATTATATAATTATGAGTGTGCTTTTTGCCAGGGAGATTTGTAAGCTAGTTTTAGTAACCTGTACTCCATTTATTTCTCAACTCGAGTATAGAGACAATTGATAGCTTTCGTTCACAACTCCATTGGAAAACTTTGATACCCTACAGCCTGAGAGCTGTAGAAGATTGACACGTCTAATTAAGGCAATGAGTTCATCAAAATCACTTCTCAGGCTTCTCATTAGGAATTGTTGATAGATCCATTTTCCTGTTTTTTTTTTGTCATGATACAGAGGGGTTGCACATCACCTCTTAAGGATCTGATATCAATCAGTAGTGAATTTGCGAATAGCCAATCAGATTACTCGCTCTGACGAAGGACTAACACTAGAAACGTCAGCTTTAGGAACTCTTTCCGGTGGCCGGCCAGTTGACATTAACAACTCAGTTGATAAAATAAATAAATAATACGTAATAAATAATTTAGCAATGGACATTCCACTGGGTGGCTCTTCTTGTGCACTGTTTCCAGATCGAATTGGAATTTGGAATGTTGGTTTTTGTCGAGGGAAGAAAACTGGAGGACCCGGAGAAAAACCCTTGGTGCAAGGACGAGAACCAACAACAAACTCAATCCACCTGAGCCACAGTGGTGGGAGGCGAGTGCTCTCACCACGGCGCCATCCTTGCTCCCCTAAAACCAAATTATCTCGTAATACCTCTTCCAACTTACCAGTACAGTTTCTTTAGAAATTTATCCTCTTTAATAGGATTGGGTTGTTTGACAACATCCCAAAAGAGAAAACATAAAGTGTTGACAGTCCCTTTTTTAACACTTTCACAGATAAGGCTGATTGTACAATAACTGTGAATGACGTAGACTTCGTTAAGATAATGACTGGTAAAATGAATCCACAATCGGTGAGTTGACGTTTATCAATGTTTTGCTTTAACATACAATAAGAGCAACGAATGATGGTATTGCACATTAGTTCAACATGAACCAGATGATTTTCCAAACTTTGAAACTAAACAGCTTCCCTGTTTGTTATTTAGGCTTTTTTCCAAGGCAAGATCAAGATCAAGGGAAATATGGGCCTGGCTATGAAACTGAGAGAAATTCAGCCAAAACCCGAAAAGTCTAAGTTGTAGAACCACATGTGAACAAGATTTTAACTCAGCAACAAATTTTAAAGGTGTACTCTTTGAGTGAAGAATAATTTTCGACAGGCCTAACTTCCATTCCAGAATTTTTAATATTTTTCAACCCTCCAGGTGAAAGGAATACTTAATCACCCGAGGCATCAAATTATCATACCAGTATTTGATCAAAGCTGAGAAATACAGTCGATAAATGACACAAGGAAGAGCCCCTCAAGCCTCAGTAAGAGGCCTGGGTCAGAGTGACCCGGTACATGTTTAACAGAGCTATTGCGATTACCAAATAGCAATACATGTATATTGGCGAGGAGGGTTTTCAGTAAGAATTACTAAAACGAACAGACACTCCTTCAACTGAATGATTGCTTATCTTTATTATCCGCAACTTCATTAAATGTGGGTCGCTATAATTATAATAAATAAGACAAGTACTACTGATTATCTAGTTTTGACAACTTGTTCACGACTCAGTACAAGCAAGCTGTGGAGTCTTCAGTTTACTTATCGTGTGTCTATATTTTGCTTTAAAGATGGTAAGCAGCCTATTTTGTTTTTCTTCTGTACATATTGTACTTTGAACAGAGCGTTTAGTCCTCATTTTGTTTTTCTTTTGTTTAAATTATGCTACCTACAGCACAATAATTTGTCAAATATACCTTGGAGGTAGTTGATACGTTTCCTCCGTGAACATAAACCAGTTGGCAAGCAGCCTTAACGTAATTAAGGAAATACGTTGATCAAATTCCTTAGTCTAAATCTTTGAGTAGGGTGGTGGCTTTGGGAAGCGATCAGGGATGCAGTCCTTCTTTTTAAAAGACATGACAAGCAGCACACACGCTAACATACTTATCACGAACAAAATTCCCGCCAATAGCACCAAGTAATTTAGCGGCAAGATCAGTTGACAGTTGTCAAAGGTGGTATTCTGACAGTTCTCTCCAACACATTCCTGTTCACAATGTTGAGCGTTACACGTAAATGAGCATGCTCCTGACAAACACCGCTGTTTACAGAAACTGACATCGCTTGTACACTCCATGTGGCAATTGTGACACTTCTGATAGCATGTCTCAGTTGAACACTTGATTTCTCTGCACTCATAACCCGCGGAGGCTTGGTAACATTCATTGTAGCCATGGTTACTGTCTGTTACGCCACAGTCACATGACTGGTTGAGGCAATGTTGCATACAAGTTCCTGAGATTACCATCTGGCATCTTTCAGTTGAAATCGCCATTGATTCTTTGGCCACAAAAATTGTAACCGCGATCAAAATACAGAAAAACATCTCGAAGACTGTCAAGTAAAAAAGTTAATGAATTGATTAGCAATGGAAAGCCATTTCAAACCCTGATGATTGAACATTTCAAACGGTTTAATCAGCGCGATAATCACTGAACCAATTAAGTTTCGCGTTCCGAGTTGTCGTGAGGGAAATCAGACAAGGAACGGGTATTCATGAAAATTGAACTATTTCCTGATATAAAGAGTTCGAAGTAAAAAGAAGGGGGTAAAGAAAATTGGGTTGAACAAAATATAGCAATTCACGTTTTATCTAACTTTAGCACGGAAATCGAAGGTGGGGCCGGGTTGTTCAAAGCTGGGCTAAGGTTAACCCAGGGTTAGTGTGAAATTTGATTTCATATCTGAAAGAGCTAAAAGAAAAATTCGATTAAATTATTTTGTCTAGAATTTAATGATTGTTTTTTCTAAAAAGAACAGAGAAATTTTCCGAAAAGGCTTTTTACCAGAGGAATAAAGAGACCTGGATTAAAATTTACCACTGGATTAATGCTAACCGGTACTCGACCAACTGGGCCTATATGGGCTTCGTTTCCTCGTGGGGACTATGTATTTATCCCTAATCCTGTGCTCATGACAAGATGGAATAAAAAACATCTTTCTTTAATTTATTTATTCAGGGCGACGCCACATATCCTAAGGATTAGAAATCTTTGCCATAAATCACTGTTGATTACAAACTGCACCTTGAATTTTGAGAACAACTTGTTCTTACGTGAGTTGAACAAATTGTTTGACCCTCAGAGAGTTCTTGGCGCACTTCCATGTATCGTGCCCGGAATATTCAAGTAGTGTCTTGTCTGGTTAGTACAAAAAATGTGGGTTATTAATGCCTTATCTCGAAGGTCAAGATAATTTTTTGCTGAGTAAGTTCAGAATTTTGTTGACAATGCTTTTTGATGCGAACGAGTCTCGTATCCATTTTGATCGAAAAAGCTCAGTCCAATCAATTTAGGATTTATTTCATGCTGAAAGGCTGGCGCAATTTCAGAACAAGCCGTGCAATTCCAAGAGGGAAAAAAGGTCATATTACCCACTGAGTTAGGATACAAGAAAGAACTCGCTTCATCTTGCCCTCTTGTTGAAACTGTTCTTTGGAAGAAGGATTTATCAGTTCTGTGATTTATGCTTGATCATTCTCTTTCGCTCTTTCGAATTAGAGATGAACGCGGAGAATAAGGTACAAAATGGCCAACAGCACTTAGCGTGTGTTCTCATTTTTTCATAAGATTAAAAAGGGCCACGAAATAAATATTAACTTGGACGGATTTAAGTAATTTACTGCAAAAAAGGACAGATTGCCATCCAAAGTTAGACAAGTCACCCCTTGTGATAACATTTGCGTTTTTCTGACATTAAATTGCAGGGGTATAAGCTCTGAAGTTAATAAACTTACTAAAGAACGATTTTGAATACCAACCTCTTAGAAGAGTTCGAATAAACAACTGCTGATTAATTCGGAATGAAATTTCCACACTGCGTCGTAGCGTGTTGTTTAAAGTTTGTCAGGCTGTTTCCTTGTGATCAAAACTTGCTTCGTAATGCTTTTAATTTAGTCAGACAAGGAAAATCAAAGTGATGACTCAAGCCTATTTATGGGAAAACCCCTTCACGACGTCTTCAACTTATTGTCTGATAGTATCTAAGACAGAAAGTGATTTGCCATGTAGATAGGGAAGCTATTAACCGAATATTGCAATAAAATTGTGATAAATTTTACATCACGTCCAAAAGAAAAGTTTGAAAATAAACTTTTCTTCATAATTTGGAGTTTCGTTTTCACTTCTATTTATAGTTTCTTGTCATATACAGACAAGTTTGGGCGAAGATCAAATGTCTCTTAATTATGTCTTTGTTCTTGTGTGTTTGTTTTACTATTAAAATGCTGAGGACAAGAGAAAAGTTAAAATGTCACTCGTCTCTTTATCTCTCTACCTTCTGTGAGCGATTTTATTTCATTTAAGTTGACAACTTTTTTCATTTGTTGAGTCAGATGCAGAGAGACAGAAATCTCGTTACTTCTCCGGTCTCCCCTTGGCTACGCTATTTCTGGCCCACTTAGCCTGTACAAACAACAACTGGTTCCCATCATGATTTACAATTTTAAACCATGGTATGGACAAGCTATAAAATGTTAATTTCTTGGGATATTTTATACCTTGATTTACGGTTCATTTAAGCAAGGCACGCCTAAGGGTTTTCTAATAAAATATGATGGAATGTGAAATTGATTGACTTGTATGGGTCTCGTGGGATTCATAGGATCATGCCCTTTTTAGAGCAGAATTTTAAGAGGCAAAAAAGATATCTCGCTTCAGCTAATCAACCTGTGGTAGTCTGGGTATGAGTCAGTTGGGAACGAGCTTGCATGTCTGAGGCTATATTACCTGACCTTACCAGGTGATGCAGAAACTCATGTTACTTCCGTACACCTGTGAGTTAGAGAAATGCTTCAATTTGACGCGTAATCAAACCAACCCTTAGCTTATCGTCGATAAAAACAGCACGTTTTATGCTCCGTTATATTGCCTTGATGTTATGAAGCGAAAAACAAAGGACTTTGCCTTAAAAGATTACTATAAACCGCCCAGGCAAGTTTTCTGCTTTAATCTGTGTGGTTAAAGCGAACATGCACGCAATAGCACATTCTGTATTATCGTTTACCAATGTAAAACGAAATTAATCCTCTAGTCATTTACACGGAATCAAGTTTATGTAACACAAGCCTGTAGTTTTCGGTGTGTTTGTATTGCAACTCGCCCGTTCATCCTCGCGATTCCATTTTCTATACAGACAGCTTATGCTACTTACCATTTGCTCGGAAATTATGCGCTACACTAATTCAAATTCAGTGTGCACCACCTAATGAAAATCTGTTGTCTACCTCAGAGAAGGCAATGCCTTCACTGAGTCACCTTAAAAAGGTACTAATGAAGAGATTCCTAAGCTCAAAAAGAGCAATAATGACGAGTTACCCTCAAGTTGAGGCTGCCTAAGACTCATAAATGATAAATCATTGCTAATCATTGCTACTCATTGACAGACGTTTCCCAGATAGAAAGTGGGCCGTTAGCGAGTTCAATGGACAAATAATCCTAATTTCTCAAGAGAGGTTAAAATGAAGTCGACGGAAAACGGCAAGAATTGCACCTCCTGCCATCTGTTTTCAGCCATCTGTGCGCTGAAATGAAAAATTTGTCTTTGTTGACTCCTGAGAGATTTTATTTTTTATCGTAAGGTCGATTGGAGGATTGAAAATTGTTTTAGCCTCCTACAATGTGTATTTGTTACCAGCGGCTTCCCAAAGCTGCATGCATGCAATGCTGAAATGAATGGGTTACTTTTGAGCCATAGTTTGGACCTCTCTTAAGACACAAACTAGGATCGTATTATATCTTTTATAACACAAACCGTCATGTCTCTAACCTATATATTCGCTGTGTTTGTTGTTCGTTAAAAGGGCCAGCAGATGTCAGGAGAAAATGTTGCCTCTGCAATCGTAATTGTCAACGAGGGGAACTACCGAACGAAAACCTGTTTGACCTGTTTTTAATCATTTTTTAGCCGTAACAAGGATTTTCTGACCAGAGTCACTCACTGAATTGCGAAGGATTTGTAAATTTGATCCATGGATCAAAAATAGTTTTGAACCAGGTTCCAAATCTGCTAAATACTAATCTCTCTTTCAGCTTCTTACTCACTTTCCATTGACTACTCCGGCATAACACCTTCTTTGAAATAACGCTTAATTTGGAAATAACCAGAAAGCATATTGTAACTGATACCTTATCAGCTCGTGGGCTGATAACCTCTTGTTATTGACCCGGGACTCTTATTTACGAACCAAGTGGACGATAATAAGTAATGCGTGACCGGAAACCGTGATTCCGAAAATCCAGCTCTTGACACTCGCTAGAACTCAATTATTTGATCACACCCCTACTGGGATTGAAGCTTAAAGCTCCACATTATCCTCTTCACGAAAATTATCCCTTTGAATGCCCCATTTTTTACCGTAGTTCTTGAGGTGAAAAACCCAATGTGCTCAGATCTACGTTAATTTATCTTACTAGTGACCGAACCTCTCAATCATTAGGGTTAGTCTGTCAAAATAATCCAAGTAAATCGTATTCAGTTTGCAAACACATACACTGACACAAACTTTAAATTTTATAACTTAATTTATTTGAATTTATCTCTTGAAAAATTCAATCTGTAACCTGCTACAATTACAATTTGCGCTTAGAAGTCAAAGTGAAGGGGCTACATGAAAGATTTGTTCATTCATTTCCCTAGCAATTAATCTTCCTCCCTTTTTGATTCGATTAAAGATTCTCTAGACATTTCTGGTCTGAGGTCAATCTTTCAGTTTATGATAAATTTTACGATCCACAAACACATAATCCAAAAAGTGTAAAACTCAGCGTGTTTATACCCCAGTTTCACTTTTAAACTAGGGAGTTGTTTTCTGATGCATTGCTTCATTCTTACGATTACGACTAAATCAAATGTGAGTCAATTACTTGGGAGAATTGATATCTAAGCCACACCTTGTAACAAGTTGTAAACAACCTCTTTCTGACGAAGATCTGGCGATTTTGCTCAATTTTGTCCGCTTTGACACGAAAATACTTTTATTTAATTCCTTGTTATGTCTGCATTTGCTTCTTTTTCCGTGCACTCAGCTTTAATTAAGAAAACTGGAAGAGGGTAGATACTTTTAGTCTAAGAGTTTTTTTCGTCGCCGCGCGGTATAATGCGAGATTTGACCTTGGATACACAAGGCCTTAAAAATGCCTTTATAGTGAAGTGTGATTTGTTGAGAGCACTTGTCATCCACAAATAGTATTGAAAAAAAAAAAGAAGAAGTAAATTGTATTATTTAGCCAACTCCCCCTCAACGCCCTTGAGATCGTTGCCCACGCGAAGATTTAGCTTAGTGAGAGCTTTCACGCATAAACTTTGCTGTGAGGCCTTAGTCTGGGTTGAACCTAGTTCCGACGATGGGCTAACGCTCGAAACGTCAGCTTTTATAATCGTAACGGTGGCCAATTTACAATTTCAATTTTGTTGATATATTCCATTTATTTCGTTACCCCCACCGACGCAGCCCCAAACAGTTTCTTTAGAAACTATCAGCCTTTATTCATTTGAACCTAGTTAGTTCGTTAATATCATGCTAAACAAGTTCACTTCGACAAGAATTCATGTGTTAAAGAACTTACCTTGTTTGCAATGTGGAAGAACTCCTAAATACCACGTAGATCCCTTGAAAGAACTGTTTCACAGTTAGAGTTCGCAAGGATTGAGTATTTTGCCGGTTTAGGCGAGACTTGTGGCTAGAGCAGAGATACTTAACATGACCAGTGGGACTGCTGTTGAGAAATATTGTTTGCGCCTTTGTAGAAAATTTAACTTTGATGTTTATACAGCTAACGGAGAGTAAAAATTAATCTACTTAGGAACAGTGAGTGGAGTTATATAAGTGTATCTACGTGATTCTATTCGCACCTGGACTTAAAATCATTGTGTAAATAATATTTTTCAATATAAAAATATCATTTACACAACGATCACTGAGTCAAGCTGTGAATAGAATTAGCGACAGCTGCGAAGTACATTGTTTATTCGGTCATATCTTGGCACGACTCGACTGAGCAAGCGTTCGTCAAGTCATGTTCGTATAGAGGTGCTACGATTTGGGGTTGGCGTGTTGAATATTGCAATATATTTTTTCCTTTGTATGGCGTTAGCCTGCCTGCGTACTAACAGAAGGAATTAAGTATGTAAAAGCTGGACTCAGACAGTCTGTCTTATCGTAGGTCAAGACCATATACGGGCATTACCGAGAGCTATCAGACTGTATCAGGGAGATAATCACTTATCTGACTTATAAAACGTTCCGTGGACAGAAAAGGAAAAATGATATTGCAAAAATTGGGCATCGTAAGAATATGTATACATCGCAAAACAAAGAAAGTTTAAAGACAGACAAAGCAAAAAAAAAATAAAAAGCTTAAAGGGGCGCACTCAAGGGGAAGGATGAAAAGTGATCGAGGTCTAAATTAAAGGGAGTGCAACGTGGGGTAAACAAGCAAAAAGATGACCGTATTAGGGGGAAATTCCTGCTGTGTCTGTCTGTTTCTGCAATCCTTTTTTTTGAATGAAAAACACTTCCTGTAATTGGCTCATCCGGGAATTAATTCCACCTTGGGGCGACATACATGAGTACAAAATTTGGTAAACATCATGTCACGTCCTGTCGAGAGGTGTCGTGATAAAATTCACGGCTGAAGCAGACCATAAGTCAAATGAAGAGAAAATCGCCTTCTTTTATTGAAAATGGTTTCTCTGGATGTACTACTGTCAAGTCAGAATAGGATGTGTAATTCGCCGAGGCAATCCGGAACACACCATCTGAGTCAGAGGACTACTACGTTACTCCCTTAACGAATCAACCATGAATTGGTTTTTTAAATTAGCTTACGGGTAACAAGAATTCACG